TGTCAACACCTCGGGTCCAGTTGGGTCTCACAACAGACAGAGAGAGGGCAGCGCGCATTTTCATAAATCACTTCTTGACACTCCGAATCAAGGTTATGTGGTGGGCAGTCTGTTGCACAGACCACATTGACATTGGCAATGCGAAGAGGCTCAGTTGGGATTTTAATTATTTCGGCGTCCGTTCCTGGTCGAACGTTTAAGACACCCTTTCCCCTAAACTCTTATCGCGCGTTTAGGAGATAAAATTGATGAGGAGATGTTTTGTTCCTGCGCTGACACTGTTTTATTCGGGGAATCGGCGTACACAGCCCCTGCTTTTTGCGGCCCGCCCCTTGCCACGTTGGCTCCATGCTACCCACGGTGTTGAGGTAATAATTAGCTCGCTGCGGCAGTGTAACAAGTTTGCACCCCCGTCCTGCTGTGCGGCTCTGTAATTGGTCCCCCTCATGTGGCACAGTCGGGCTCCAGAACAAAGGGTTCCCAGAGGGGGAATCTGTGCTGACCCATGCTGAACCCCCCCCCACAACAATGACAGGCAGGAAGCATTTACATATGCTGACAGACTCGTCTCCTCCTAGGGTGGAGTGCCAGGCACTTCATTAAAGCAACATCAATACCTGCTGATAGAAAACGAGGAGTGGGCCCGTGCGCATCACTGTCTGCTCCCAGACGCTGTGGTGAAATGACACAGGGCTGTCACGTCCAATCTCGGGGAAACGGACGGCGTTTATTAAAAGCGAGAGTGTGTGGAAATTGATGGCGGGGAGACGCTGTCTGAGCTGTGCTCGTCTGCATGCATCAGCAGATAGTTTACCCACAAGCTGTTCACCTGCACATCAGCTGCCAAAATATGTGGGCCCTCCGGGTACATCCGAGCGAATCCCAACTCTGCCCGCGCCTTTTGTTTTTCGTTTTTTTTGGGCGACATCAGTAAAAGAAAACAGTTCGTGCTCCCGCTTTGGGGTTTTGCTCTTCAGTCAGACGTCGGCTAACCCCGCGAGCGCTCCTCAGAAAGAGGAATCGAGCGCAAAGTCAGACACAGGTGACTTATCTGTCGATTCAGCAGAACTGCAGGTGGGTTCACCCGTTCGTTGCATCGCTGGGCTGCGAATTCACTCTCTTATCCAGTTAAAGGAAGGGTAAATCCTCCTTCCATTTGACACGGCTGCTCATTTAGTTGAGAGGCACAGTGGCCGGCTGGAGGAAGGGGAGGGGAGGGAGGGGAGGGAGGGGAGCCAAGAGGGAGTTGTGGTGATGTTGTGTGTGTGTGTGTTGGGGGGGGCTCTTTGGGAGGTGTGGACCTGAGCAGATGGACTTCTCAGTGGCGTAGTAAGCGGAGTCTTCACATGGCGGAGGAGACTGCAGGATCTCACAGGACCGGGACGCGGCGTCCAGGTGGCCACGGCCCCTCCTGACCAGCTGGAGGAGCGCTGGGACCATCTGACGCTCCAAGGGGAAAACGATACAGTTTTTCTCTTCGCTGCTTTGTTATGTCCCGTCACAAAAGCCCCGAGCCAATCAAGGAATTTAGCTAATCAAGCATAGAGAAAATCCCTTTTGATTGCATGCAAGAATTCAAGGTCACGTTCAGCACAGAGGAGCAGCGTTAGCTGTAGTAAGGTGAACACTCCGAGATTATCTAGTTCAGCACAAAGACGACTGATTCTGACCAAAAACCTACTGTGCACGTTTGCATCGGCAAGCACGTGCAATGATTTCAGCCCGACTCACACGTATTGCAATGTGGATTCATAAAATCCAAGTGAGAAAGTCCCATCTGTGCTTCTCCTCCACTGATCCTGCGCCCTGGAGGCTACGTAGCGCTAATTGTGGCCCCATTTTTTTCCTTCCTTATCTTTTTGTTTTTACTCAGTGTTGGGGTCAGGGAAGCTCCCAAGTGACCAGCGGCAGGAGCAACAGCCACCGTCCCCCCCGCTGAGCCTAAGTAATTAGAGCCCTCCTCCTCCTCCTCCTCCTCCTCCTCCTCCTCCTCCTCAACCCTGTGCTTCCCCACAGACCGGGGGCCAGGGAACCTCTCCCCATCCTTCTGAAGGGCGTGGGGGGGGGGGGGCAGAGAGGAGGAACAGCTGCTGACGGGAAACCACTCTCTGGTTCCCATGGATGACCTCTGTCCTCCTCTGAGGATGTGCGGCAGCATCTTTGATAGGGATGATGGGGGCTTTGGGCAGACATTTCACGGGATCAATGCAGCTCTGGTTTCGTGAGGCTGTTTATCTCAGTTTATCCATGTCTTTTTTTTTTTACACTTTCCCTGTTTTAAACGACTGGCTGTTTCTTTACTGACAGTACGTATCAGAATGGTCTCGTGACAAGATATAATCTATAATAAAGGTATGAAATCATTGCCTTTTTTTTAATTGTGTGATATATCAGTGTTTCAGTTGATCCAAGTGGTGCTGGTTTATCTTCTTTCTCTACATAGGTACTATTGTGCAGCTGTTACCAGCCTAAGGTAAGACACACTAATAGGTTTAACCTGAGGGGTAGAAATGATTAATAAGAAATACCAGAGAAAAAATGTTGTTTCTGCTCCAATTAATCATCAGTATAATTTATTTAATAATTATTATTTTCTGCCGTATGTGCTTGTTATATGTCTATAGACCTTAAAACCCTCAGAGATGTTTAAAAGGATTAGCTGTTTACAACACACTGCCGTTTCCAAGAAGGCCACAAGTCGTACGGGTCATCCATTATGTAGTATTTTAATCTGCACTTTAACAGAAGCTGGCATCTTGAGATGAGTCTGTCAGAGTCAAATGAAAAAAGTTGCACCTCAAAATGCCACTGGAAAAAAACAAATCTGCATAGGAAATTTGATGCCCTTTTCTTTTTTCTTTTTTTATTACTCCTACATGGTATGACCATATTTCACATGGAAGACAATGTGTGTTCAGTTTGTGGACCTACATGTTTAAGAAGTGTGTTGCAGACATCTAGTGGCCAAATGAGTTTCAATTTTAGTACAAGTACTGGTGCAATGCACTCTAACAAAATACATCTTAAAAAGCTGGAAAGTAATCTACTTACAACCCAGTGTTAAACACGACATTGATTAAATGCAACAGTTTTCCGCAAATCAATATTTTAATTCACAGTAGTACATAGAAAACATATAAAATACTGAAAGTGAGACATTTAACAGATGAAAAACAATTGGATGAATATGATTACAGCAACACATCTGAAAAAATGGGATATTATTATGGACTCGGAACAAAAACAAACTCTAAAATGCAAATATGTAAAAATCACAAGGTTACACAGAAAATAAAATAAATTCAACAGCTTAGAAGATTGCCAGCTCATAATTGTAATTGAATAATAGTCATCAGCTGGGAGCTTTTCTTTTTGTGAGTGTGTTAGAGAATGTTTTAACATGAATCAGGTTTAGTTTTTAGTTTTTTTTTGTTTTACCTCTTTATTTATATGCTCAGATGTAGTTGTGGGATGTTTCAATTACACACAAGAACTGTGTCAGTGTGGGATGAATTAACTTGTCTTAAGCAAGACAAACGACATGACTGTGCCTTTTACATAGCTCAGGAATGTGTGAAACATTTTTTTTTTAATACATAGGAGAAAAGGTAGACGTGGCAGAGAGTGGTAAATCTCTGGTGTTAATCTGGACAACAGCCTGACATAGAAGTGCAACACAGAGCCTTAGTTGTTGGGGTCCGGGGTGTTTTTGCTGTTTTCTTTTCCTCCACCAGAGGATGCCATGAGGTGGAGCCTGGAGGGCGTGACCACCGGCAGCAGGAGTACCTGCGCACCTGTAAGCGATCAGCTCATCTGGTGGAGTTTAAGAGGAAGGGGCAGCCTACACTTCTTTGCCAGAGTGTTAGCCTGACATGGTGACCCGTAAAGGAACTCTAAGAACCCTCCGCTGAACCCTGAACCTCCGGCTGCCTCCACAAGATCATTATCCTCGTGACGCCACGGAAAATACCCGCTGGTCGCCCTCCAATGCTGTGCGCCTCCTGGTCTCCTGCCGTACACCCTCCATCACTTTCCTCCACCCCGGTACCACCGAAACCTCCCAGGCGCAGTTCATCACCAAAATCCATGAAACAGACCTGGCTGTTTTCACCTTTGGTTCCCCGGCCCAGACTTCTCTGCTGACTTTTCATTAAACTTCTCTAACTGATTTCGGGTACTCCGTCTAGTGTTTCTGCATGTGGGCGAGAAGAATAGAGCCCAACATGACATTAGTAAAGCGGACATTTTCATCATACTTTGGTCCCTCAGTGTTTTCTCCAAGATGCTGCACTTCTAAAATCTGTAGTGAAGTCTGTAATATGTTTCCTGTCCTTCTATTTGGAATGCAGCAACAGAGCCAGTAGCACAAAGAAACTGAAAATCCCATTTTAAAAAGTCTGCTCAACTTCAGAAAAAGCTTTCATTGTTCAAATGAAATAGTGGGCTAACAATAAACTATGTTCAGTCAGAGGCTTCTTCAGCTCCACCGTGTAAAAAATGTTTTAGAAGTAATTCCTTTAGAGAGCAATTCCTATGCTCCAAAAAGATTTCCCTCTTTGGAAATACTTAAGTATTATTCAATCATATTTTGTTTCATATAATAATTTTATTGTCACATGGCATAGTTTTCTTATAACCAGAAGCATGTGTAACCTAACCCTAACGCTAACCCGTGGTAATGAATGGGGCATGTCTTTTGGCAGTACATGATATTTCATACATATCGTTCCCTTAAGGGGGGCTTTTATTCTGATTAATATTTTCAGAGATGTATCAGAGATACAAAAGGTTACTTTATTGTGAATGTACAAAGATCAGAGCCTGATGGGCTTTTTAATTTCTGGTTCTCTCTGCTACAGAAAGATAACCCTATCCAGGAAAAAAATTAAGAGTTTGTATCAAGTGTTTTTATTCAACTTCAGCAAAGGATTAAATAAGCATACACGTGTAAATTGAATCCGGTTTGTTTCAGCCCTGGATCCTCCCCCCCCCACCGGCCGTCACAAAGGACACTGAGTGTTGCAGAAGTCTCCTGACGTAAACAGCTGGTAGACGTTGACCAGCGGGAACATGGTGACGGAGCCCACCAGAGAGCCCATCTGTCCAGCAGCTCCACACCAGACCAGGGCGCTGTGGCTGTGGTCCCTCAGGATAACTCCAACCATCACCTTCACGTAAGACAGCGTTCCCGTAAACAAGAGCCATGAGATCACCTGGGTTAAAAGAAAAGAACGTTATGGACTGCTTTTCTTATCTGGGAGATAATCTGAAAACATCATCTAGGTCTTTAAAAGGAAAAAACATCTGGTCAAAAGTGTAAATAAGTTACCTCATCCGTGGTTGGGAATGTTAAGTCATGAGTTGAACTTTGACACTTCGTTTGATAAAACCACAAATAACGCCACGCCTCCGGTACAGAACATGTTCGTGCTTCACTCACAATAATCGCCTCGCCCGCCGCAGTTCCCTGGAGCAGCGGACACGGGCTCATGGCCGCCATGGCCATGTTGTAGCCGCCGAAGCCCGTCCCCAGCATGGTCAGCACCCCGAGAAAGACCGGGGATCTGGACACAGAGGGGCTCTGTCAGACGCCATCTCTTTATTCCACAACCAGAAAAATCTAGACTACATACAGATAAATGATAACCTCTTTTGTGTTTTTTTCCAAAAGGGGGGTTTGATAGAAGTGTACCTTTTGTTTGACCCACTTATTTTAGTGACTGCAGAAAACAAATGCTAAATTAGCTTTCTTGAAGCAGCAGTCAGGTACCCATAAACATAACAACCAGATTTCATCATGGTTGGCCAGTAAAAGCTCCTTTTCTAATGGGCTAATGAGCTCTTGGAAAATTTTGTTTTTCTAGACTTATCAAAACATGTGAAGGGAACACAGCTGAGAAAAGCTATATTTAGTGGCTAAATTTTCACAGTGCCATATAATTTGTTTTCAGTGGTTTTGTTCCCATTGCATCATTTGTGGAAGCATCCTAGAGGAATCTTCTAACGGCCAGCCTGAGTACTGGAAATGAGCAAAGGGACTAAAGCCTGCTTAAAAATCCCTGTATCGTTTGCGGAACAACTCTAATATTTCTACCCTTGTTTCTCAAGGGGACATCTAGGATTTTTACCTATTCTGGAAGAACATTGCAATAGTGCAGGCGACCGGGTTGGCCACTGAGGCCAGGGCTGCGGAGAGGTGATAGGCGAGGTTCCCGTAGGGCATGCAGGAGTACGTCTGCACGGAGGGCAGCACGCCATTGGTCGAGGCGTTGACCCACACCACCAGTAGGTAAATGAAGCCCAGCTGGTACACAGAGTGTTCCGGATTGGCCAGCTGCGGCTTGCTCTTGGCCGGGTCCCCCCCCGGTCGGCCCTCTGAACCTCCGCCGGCCTCCGCCCCCGGGTTGTCCAGCCCCGATGCGACCGAGGCCGCGGTGTCCGGCACCAGGTTTTCGGTGGACAGCTCGAACGTCCGAGGGAGCCTGTTTAGCGCCACGAAGGCGCCCAGGCTTATACACATCATGGCTGCCAGGAAGAAGAAAAACACCTCCGTGGAGAAGTTGGAAGGGAGGTACTCCGTCTGCAGGGACCACGTCTGCTCGTCCGTGTGGTTTCCCGAGGTCTGGGAGGAGTTCACGCACTTGGCGATTCCGACACCCTGTGCCAGGGCAACCACGCCGGGAATGAAACCGCTGAGCCCCTCGCCAATGAAATAGGTGGTGATGTACTTTGCGGGAAGCTGCATCATGAACGGGAGAAAGGTCACCGAGGAGGTGCAGTCCACCAGGGAGAGGAAGAAGGTGATGATGAAGAAGGCCGTGCTGTGCGAGGCCCCGGCTATGACGGTGGTCCTGTCCCAGAAGAAGGCCAGCAGGACGCAGGACAGCACTCCTATGGAGAGGATGGAGCAAATGACCACTCTCTCGCTGAGCCGGCCCGGGCAGAGTTTGTGCATGAGGGTGACCAGCAGCGGTCCCAGGTTGGCCAGCTGGATGATGACCGTCAGGTAGGACGGGAGCTCCCAGCCTTCGGGGAGAGTGTTGACGATGAGGGGCAGCTCCACCCAGAGGCCGTTGACCGCCACCCAGGAGCCCAGGCCGAAGGCGCAGGCCAACACGTGCACGAGCAGAGCCATGGTGTCAGTCTGAAGAGATAGTTCCACCTCCGCTGAGAGTCAAACCTACGGAAGCACAAAAGCCAGAAGTCTTGCGTCACCGCCTCATTAATCTCTTCAAGTTTAGGCTTGCCCCGGACGTTAATGCGGTCCGAATTAAATTGGCTGGAGCGTATTCGCCATTGCCACCAGTAGTTCTTTGATAACAAATTAACCTATTAATGTTATCATTACGGCTGGGGTTTTACAGCCCTTTCCTGGGGGCATTATCACAAACTCATTAAGAAGCACACGCGTGGGGATTTTCTGTCCTGGCTTTTTTCAGGAGCTGGTCGAAGGACGGCCCGGGCTTTTGGCAATAATTTTGCAGCCTCCGATAAATCTAAGTAACTTATTCAAGTATTTTTAAGCGTCTTAAATAATTGGGAGAGGAAAAGTAAGCAGCATCCCATCTTAGCTAATGAAGGTTGGGGCCATTTTACCGGTCTTATAGTTATTCAATTTGATGAGTTAGTCACCATATTTTGTAGACTTACCCTGTATTTTGATTATAGAATCTAATCTGATTAAGTAAGCAACAGTTTAGAAAAGGATAGTAAAATGCACATAATGTAGTCCATTCCAACTCATATCAAGAATACTTAATCATATATGTTGTCACAGTGCTACTATTAGCAGAATAAATGACTTACTTCCTCATTATCAGTAAACTCTGACAACTTCATTATTGTAACAAAGGGAGTCGAGGAAAAAAACAATTATTTCAGTTCACACCAGCATACCACTGAATTAGTCATTAGTCACGTCTCAACAGGGGTTCACGTCCCTTTTACTCCTTGCTGAAGAATCCAGCGTGGCACTGACCAACCTATGCTCTTTCTCTGAATATTCAGGTGATAGAAAGTTCAAGAAACAAACAAGGGCAGTTTTAAAAAACCAGCATAGTCCCTTAACTCTCTATCAGACGTGGAAATGTACTCACAAATCTCACAGTGGCTCCTGAATCGGACCCGCTGTCATTGTACAGGGGGGAGAAGTGACCGTCCTCCTCTGGCCGCTCTTGCACAAACACTTGATGAGATTCACATGGCTACTGCTGTGTGGGTCAGAGTCCACTGACCAACATCAGCGTAACACCGTAACAGTGGGAAGTGTCTAAATGCACTCGCACACTCATATTTGGGTCAAGTCACGTCTCCGAGCACTTAGAGGTTATCTTGACATACTGGCTCACTCCCAGAAAAAAAAGCACATGACACTCAGACATGAGATCTAGTGGGTTAAGAGTCAGGGCCCTTTGAGTCATCCAGCTGCCCAATTAACTGAAATATGCACAACGGACGTCCAGATCATAGTAAAGGCAGATTTTTCTGTTTTAAAATGACTTATGTCATATGTATTTACAATCATACACACATACCTCACACACAGAAGCAAATCTTGGGGTTAACTAGGATCACTAGGTACGATCTAGCTGGAGCTGTTTTCTGTCGTTGTGGCTATTTTTATTCCCGTCATTCTTTTATGTGTTGATGTAAGCATATTTTCTGTGTAGCAGCTGCAGTTTTCACTTCCTCCACAGGCAGCACAACCTCAAAATGTCAGCTGGAGCTCGTGGTAGAGTGGGTGTTTGGTCAGCACTGCCCCTTTCTGGCTATAGATGGACGTTACAGTCACTTCCTGTTCATCATGAGCTCCAGCCTGCACACACTGGACAGTGAGCAGGAACTTAAAACTGCGTTTTTTTTCCGGTCAGACTGCCTCGTCACTCCTGCTCAGCGATAAAGGTTCACTGTCAGTTTCACTGACTTCTTTGGGCATCACAATAAAGATATAAAGATTATTCAGATATTAGATTGGTTTACTTTTAAAAAAGGATGGAGTTATAAAACGTATTTCAAAACATTATGAAATCCTCATTTTTGATCTTACAAAATTTTGTCTCCGGAAGCAGATTTTTAGACATTGAAATTTTGATCATGTTTTAACATGTTTTTTCTTCAGCCCCTGAGGGGCTGTCAGACTTAATAAAGGATTAAGTGCTAGGTGTGAATGAATTATTTCAAAATGCCATAACCTAAAACGGGCTGATAGAAACTAAAATCTACACTAAATCTTTTTTCCATGACTTATTAGTAGGTTAACTTAAAAAGTTAGAGGCTCTTCAAAATCCTGAATTAAATCATTTTTCCTTGTTCACTGAGTGAAGATTTGTGAATACTTAGATTTGTTTCTATCAGAGAGGTAAATGGAAACCATGCAGGGAAAGCCAGGATCCCCAAATCCAGCAGGTGTCATCTTCTGCTAAACAATGGGTTTTAAAATAGTTGGCATTTCATCCACTCCAACTAAAGCCATGTTCAGGCTGACAGACTGACAAAGTGTTGGCGCCTCTATTCTCTAAGAAACATATTGGAGGAGCCTCACACATTTAGACTTACAAACCTTGAATCGTTATTTGAATGTTTTGATTAGAGATAGAAAATCCCACTGAAGTCTAATTGGCACATTAAAGATAACAACCGCAATAATTCCAGTGCTGCAAGAACATGTTATGCACAAAGGGGGATAAAAACTGAGGTAAATGATTAACTAAAACCATAATAAACAGATGTCGGTGAGCCAGTTTGTTCCAGAGCTTACAAATGTCAAACAACAGTCCATTTGATTGTGTAACAAGTAAATTAGCAGTGATTTATTTTGATGAGGTTGCATTCTGCATTCACCTCCTATTGATCTGAGCTGTTAATTCCTCACCACCTTGCCCAGACACGGAGATAAAATCACAGAAGAATAATTAGAAGCTTAGGCTAGAGAAGTTATTCTCACAATTTAAGTCGCTTGTCTTGGGTTTATTTGTTCTTATAAAATGTGAGACAATAAACATTTTTGGTTTTTGTGTCACATATTAATATGGCATAAAAGATAATCGGAAGATGCTCTCAATTAGATACGAAACAATTGTTGTCCTTATAACTGTTTCCTGCTTCGACCTTTATGATGTCTCCATTTGTGGGATGAACAGTTGTTTCACTTGCAATCAAACAATTAAAACAAATAATACAAATAATTGTCTATTAAAAAAAGAACAAGCCTCCCATTTGTCCTTACGAGAAATGACAGGTCTGACTGGAAAGGGTCAAATATTTCACAACTCTCAGCATCTCTGGCCCTTCAAGCTTGTCCCGGGACCATTTGGAGGGTCCTAACCTGAGATTGGGAGGCAAAATTTAGGCCTAAACCTTTGATAATCATCTGTGACTTCTTTTTTTATTATTAATATTTCAAGTAAACTCAGCAATGAGATGCTTCAATGTCAAGTCATTCCAGAATTATTTTCCACATGGGCCCACTATGAGCTAAGTTTGGGTTAATTTGGACACTGGGTCAACAACTTAGTGCCCAATTGTTTTCCAGATGATAGCTGCTAGAGTAACAGGCCACGTTAAATGGACTCAACGGAAGGCGAAGCTGGTAAGACATGATCGGATTCCATTCCACGGTCTTCCAAGAAACTGATCTGTACTCATACAGACTAAATATAGACTTCACCAACAGCAAAGTAACAAAGAAGCCATTTTGTAAGGAGTATGCGTAAACATTTTCCCTCTCTGTTTTGGAATCTCCACCCGTTCGTTTTCTGGTCGTGGCCCTTTGCCGGGCTGCAGTCAGAAACATAGATAGCCTCAAGAACAGACTTGAGTGAAACATTAGCCAGATGTGGTAAATGCTGCTCACGTAGAAAATTATTGACTTTTCTTTTGCCCCAGCGTCACTGTCGTCAGCCTTGGCATAGCTAAGCCTGCTCCTATCACTCTATGCTCAATTTGAGTGGAGTTTTTTTTTTCTTTTTTCTATATCGCTTATCTTTCTGGAACATGTCACTTTATGCAACTTCACCTGCCGCTCTGCGTCTCTTTCAATCTTATGTGGTTGCTTTGTAACCTTTAGTCAACTTTGATTACTTTTTTCCTGATATTTCCTTTTTCCATGACCTTTTCTTTTCTTTTTTTTCCATTTTCATGATATCATGTCTGTTTGTAGCCATCCTACGCTTTTCTCAAGGATTCTTACTCAACATCCGTTTGTTCACTGTATTACCATTCCCCTACAGTTGGGCGTATCTTTGTGTTCCTCTTCAGCCTTTTCTGAAATGGTCCTATTTGCATGCCTGCTCAGTGACATTCAGAGGCTTAAATGGCCCTTGATCGTACGTTCAGCACACCCATTCAGTAACCCGTCCACGCCCTTCACAGCTCACAATGAGGTTAGTCCATTCAATAAGACCAAGCAACATGATCATCCCATAACTAATTACAGTGGGAAACAATCAGGTGTTTATTCTACTCTCTTAGCGCGCCACATATCTACCTGCAAACATATTGGCCTCAAGAGTCAAATGCTGTGGTTAAATGTGTGGTCTTATTTCCTGATATGGGCCCCATTTTGTTTTTTCATTAAAAACATATTGTATTCCATGTAAGCTTGGCAAGCATCCGCACACATTAAACTACGACACAAGCGCATGAATACAGATTTATGAAAGAAGTGCAGAGAATTGAACAATCCAGGTGTCCATCACAGAAAGTTGCAAAGATAGTTTCACATGTCGGGGAGCTGCTCTGGCACTAACACAGGAGTTTTAAAAAGAATAATAAGAGGTAGCGAATTTCACTTCTCTTTTTAAGCATGGTAAAAAAAAAATGCAGACCTACAGCTGATTTGCATCTTAAGGTCAGATAGTTGTACAGATGCACATTAATCATCTATGAGACCACCAGGAAGAAAAAAAGAAAAACTTTGCGAGCCCACGTTAACATGCAAAAAAAAAAACTGTCATCTGGTCACATTACAAGACGCATCTCGTCATATCACGGGAAATAATTTTGGAGATTAGGTCCATATGTTCACTATGATGGAGAATTCTCTCTTAACCACATTTCTTAACCACCAAGCAATGCAAAATAAAATGACGTGGCTGTTTTCTGCAATACAAAAAGAGAACACACAAAGAGAAACACTCAACAAGATCATTTATGTTATTGTACAATCTGCATTTTTTTCTTAAACAATAAAAAAAAAAAAAAAAAAAGATTAGTAAGATGTACAGTATTCAAATCATCATCTCTGTTGTGGACCGACGAATCGAGACCACCCAGAGCTCCAGTGATAGAAGAGGGAGGAGGGCGAAGGCCTGGAATGAGTTTGTGTGTGTGCATCTATGTCTAAATGTATCTGCTAGTGTCTGTTTCTTGTTTTTTTTTTCGCTGTGTGTGCTGGCAGGAGGTGGACTGTCATATGGTGGATGACGAGGGGGGGGGGGGGGGGTAAAAGCTAAACAGAAAGATGGGAAGTTTTTCGGGAAGGAGGAGAGGAAGATGGAGGCAAAAGTAGAAGAAGCTCAGTTGCTGTAGATCTGGCCCTCGGGCGGCTGAGGAAGCTTCATGTTCTCCTTGCAGGTCATGAGCCGCCGCAGCTCCAGCAGCACCATCCGGATGCTGTAGGAGTTCTGCCACTTGGCCAGCGCCGTCACCGCATGCATGTCCACCTTTAGGACACAGGGACCCACAGCCCAGTGTTAGGTCATGCCCTGCAAAGCTATAAATCCCTAATGGAGGGTTTTTAAACATTTCAACCCAAAACAAGAAACAGAAATAGGCATTTCTGCGTCACACTTTAAAAAGTTCATAAAGCTGTATTTAACCCAAAGGTTGTTTTTCTTTGTTTGTTTTTTATCTCTATATCTATTGAGAGCTGGATCCTGTTGATCCTGACTGACGAGTTGAGGGAACAGACTGGGGAGCGATGCAAAACTAAAACAATCGCTTCTTTGACATGCTGCTCTAAATCAGTCGGGCTTTTTACCGGGGGCGCATACCTCCAAATAACTTGCATACTCTTCGAAATAAGACATTCAAACCTGGGTTGTCTTTCTGCGACGTTAGCCAATGCGGACTTACCACACCGTTGGAAGTGTGCACGCCATTCAAGTTTATCTTTGTCACAAATCTGACGAACGGAGGCAACTCTGGGTAACCTGGCCCACATTCCACCTTCAGATTGTACATCCTGTTTTCATAGCTGGTCTGTGGGCAGAGAGGTGAGAGAACAGTGAGATAAATGCCAAAAGGAAAATCCTCAGACTGCCGGGGCTCGGCCTGGTTACACAGACAATCTCAACATGCAAGTTTAAATTCTTGCGGAAAAAGGATTCTCCCCAAGATCTTGAGGAAAGGCAGCGTGCAACGCAGCCCGCGTTGTGTCTAGCGGCGCGGTCTGCTGCCTGACACATCAAACCTGAGCCCTCTCAGTCACATAACAGTCCATTAACCTTTCTGTTAAGCCTCTTAAGGGCTTACGGCACGGCTCTTGTTCAAGTGTTAAAATGGCACCACTCACCCTGGGAGGGCCGAGGATCACCCCTCTCCACCTCGTCAGCGTCATGTCTTCATCATCCTCGAGACCCCAACTCACTGTTCCATCTCCGACACCTTTCTGACCTTCTTCCAGCTCCTCCAGCAGCCGGAAATTGCGAGGGACTTTAACGCCTGTTATTTTTTTGGGGGTGGGAAACAGACAGGAGATCATGCTGGCACCATGCACAAGAGTAATTTACAGGCATAATGTCATAATGTACATATCTATTCTGTCATGGGGGTTTGGGAAATCATTCAGAGGAGCAGTGATAAGGCTAGGAATAGCCCAGACACACTCGCTCTAAAGGAGGGGGAGAGGAACGCCTTTGTTCAGCAGCTTTTCTAGCAGCTAATGGCAGGTGTTACTCGTGTCCTCTGGCAGCGACGTTGCTGCATCATTTGGCCTCTGCAGTGAGACACGGAGGGGTGCGCCGTTCACGGAGAAAAAAAGAAAAAGAAAAAAGGCCATCCAAACAAACACAGCCACACTTCCAGCTGGCGCAGCCCGGCCCGGCTCGGTTTAGCCCGGCTCAGCTCACCGGCGTCTCCAAATCTCCCCGTCATGCTCCCGTCAGCTACCGGGAGTCGGCGAAAAACCCCTACGGTCACTGTTGTAGCTAAACCACCACACAGGAAGTCCGGACTCTGTCGCAGCAACAGCTGCGTTTAGAGGCGAAAAAAAAAATAAAAACCAAAAAAAAACGGGGGGTTTTCAGCGTCCGCAAACAGCCCGGCCGCTGACATCACGGCGGGCTGCTGTTGTGGTTCATCAGCGACACCAGCCCCAGACTGGCGTGTTTTTAAATGAAAGCTGACAAGTTCACGTGAACCGTTTTTTGTTTTTTTGGTTGGGAATGACTGGAGCTTTAAAAAAAAGACCCCACGCCCATTAAACAACGCGACAAACCTCTCGCCTGTTGTGCAGAATCTCCCCGTCCTTCTCTTTTTTTTTTTAACTTAACTTACGTTAGCTTAGCAGGCGGTGTCGCTTCCTATTCATTCTGTCTAGCTTTGTTTTTATCCCCCTCTTTTCACACAGACACGGAAAGCGCGTCGCTGTTAAAACCATTTCAGTGTCACGCGCAACCACCTCGTCGGGAAATTTAATCTATTCGCTTTTTCAATATCAGGTTCTACAGCTGACTAATGTCTCTAAAACATTTACCTGATCCGGCGGCGACCGCCATCTTGTCGCTACACAGCGGGAGCGCGCACGTTAATTTTTTTGTGTGTCGTTCTGGGCAGCGTTGCGTGCACGAGGAGGGACGCAGCGCCTCGCTTCCTTTGTTGGGACGTGTGCTTACGTACGTATGGAGAACGGAAACTGACAGTCAAGAGTAGAAGCAGAAATATTCAAATGTCTCTGTAAATAAATGATTTTCCTTTTTTTTTTAAAGCATTATTTAATAATTGTTTAATTGTCTCCGTTCACTGTTGTGTACTGTCCTGCACTGTTGTGATAAAAAGCGAATTTATTTACTGAACCACAATGCTACATACCCAAACATTTCTTTTTCTTTTGCCATTTTTACCTTTCAGATATATTTCTAATCTCTTATTCTAAGTCATTTGTTGTAATTGGACAATTTTACCTTTTTTTCTGACAAGCCTATTTATGTTCATATCTTCCTTTCACAATTCTCTGGGTCTTTTTACATTTTCTTACACATTGATATCTCTTTATTCAAATAAGGTAGGCTGTCGTCGGCTTCTCAACTACTGGTCAGTCAAAAGGATGCTCTTTAAACTGTCTGTTGATTACTTTCTGTTGCCACTTTTTTCAAACTGGGGTTCTTGTGAGACAAAGATTCACTCCCTGGCCAATCATTTGCCTGAGGATGAATGAGTGTAAGAAAATCTAAAGGGAAAAAAATATATCATAAGTAAGCTTGAAGAAATAAAGAAAAAAGTCAAATCAAAATGGTTAAATAGATAACATTACTCATACAGCACGTGGTAGCCTGAAGAAATGAACTTGAAAATGTTACTGTTTAAAACATAAAAACCTATATAGTCCTTTTAGACTGTTATCATGGGCTGTTGCTGTGGAGAGGGAAAACCTCCTGAATAATCTTTGTTGGAGTAGATCTGAGGGAGCCTACCATGAACACACTCTTTTGTTTCATAAGAATGCAGAAATTGTAATGTTTTCCACTGAATTTAGCAGCTTTTATGACATTCTTTCCATCTGCTCTATGGGGTATTTGTGCACTCCCCAGCACACACCAGTTTCTAACTCAGACACTGTTTCCTTACCGTATTTTCTCGAGAATGTCATATGGCATGCCATATATCTGACAAATCTAATGTGAACGTGCAAATATATAGACAAAAAAAACATCCAAAAGGAGTCTAAATACAAATGTACTACCTTCATACCATCTAAAGGTCATGGAAATCATCCTCATTTCAGTTGTTTGGGGTCCATCACTGCAGCCCCATGGCCGGAGTGTGGAACCTTGCCTGCCCTGATGGGGGATGGTTTCCAGTGGCGACGGCTTCTGTGGTCATGGGTGGTGGGGCTTCTGGTGGGGATGGATCCCCAGGATATCGTTTACTCACAGTAGAGTCATACAGCTTTTAAGAAGGTAGTAACTTGGGTTCAGATAGGAAAGTGGGGTGACAGGGGGGTGGGAGGCCATACTATGTTTGTGTGTGTGTGTGTAAGTGCATGAGAGGAGGTTATGATTGGGTATGCTTTTAAATATTTTTCATATCTAATATTTTCAATTACTTAAATGTGTAAAGGCTAGTATTTTTAATGTGCTTCTATGTAAAGCACCTTGGGATTCTTTCTCTATGAAAGTCCCTATATAAATTAAAATGAATAGAAGTAAACCTGTCTGCTACCCTCCTGCGGCCTCCCTGTAACATTCTGAGATAAATCCTGACTGAATCTATCACGTTCGACGTGGCACATTGATGGTGGTTTGATTCGACACGCTATCACTGCTCAGAAGAAAATAAAACAAATCCATTCATCACGTTTAAATATTTATGGATCAATACCTTTTTAATTAGGCTTCTGTTCAGAGAGACGGGCTTCCCTAGTGACTTCAAAAAGTGCTCTAATTGATTGTTGTTAAAGCAATTGGAGATACGACATGCATTTTCTCTCCAACAATTATCCTAAAGATCCAAATTTTGTTATCATTAATAACATACTGCACAGCTATAAAAACATGCAAAAATATCTGCATAGGTGCGCTGATTTCCAGCATTTACTATTCTATAATGAATAGATACCGGATTTAACTGTAATATCTGATTTTTATATATTTGCTTAGTTTCAAAAACTAAATTTTTCAGGTAGGGGAACAATACTATTCTTTAAGTTGAAAATGAAAGACATAAGGAAGAAAAAGAGCACACAAGGTGACTTATTAGTTTATTTATAAATACAGTTTAATATATACATTGTAAGCCTCCCACATGAAAGGCAACAAAAAGGCATCAAGGTATTATTCAGATATCTAAACTCCATCACCACCAGCCTACATTACCAGTAACAACATCCATGTGGGTCACATGAAGGGCAATTTTTAAGTCAGTCAATAAGCTGTTTTTCTACACTTTTGGCACGATTTGCTGTAAATCAACAAGGGAAGCATAAGGCAGTATAATCGAAGTTTAAGTTAAAGTTTAAGATCATCACAAGAGCAAATTTTAGCCTTAAAACATGCCAAAACTACTGCCCACCCACTTGTTTACATGATCACTTGTCTTCATAGACATGTGGGGAAACGTTCAGGTCACTCCTCACAACCACTAAATAGCGTTTATATCCACCAATGAAAGCTCAGTGTATCAAAGCAGAAAAGCTCAACACAGCTCAAGTCACAAATTCTACACCGTAGTAACGCGGGGGCAAAGGCTTAACCGTACAGATCTATGCTCGCAGTACAACTGATGACGCCTAGGACAACTGACTTACTGCATCGGATGTGGCCGTTTGATTACGTAAGAAAATTCTTGAATTAAAAAAAAAAAAGCTAAATAAAAATATCTATAACCGTATATATGGAGCGTTTTACCCCGCAAATTCTCAATAAACTATTTGAATCGTTTGATTCCATTCCCAGATCACATAGAATATATGTTTATTTGTAACCAGAGAAACCACCACAAACCCGTAAAAAGCACTTAAAGCAAGTCTATAACCAAATGAGAGGTAATGTGATTTGGGTTCTCTATGCTCTAATATCTTTGATGCAAAGTTGCCAGTTTTACCAATGAATCTAACTAATTCACGTGCATCCCGTCAAGCGTTTTCTACTATTATCTTACGGCTATTTTTCCATATCGCTGATCAGAAAACACAAAGTATCCTTGAAAATATTAATTTTCTGTCAAAGATTCAATGCTAATAAATTTACTGATGCATCAAAAGAAAGTTTAGCAGAGCAAAGATCAAAATTCCATCTTTCTTTTTTTCAGATGTACCTAAACAACACTTTCCCTAATAATAATCAATTAGAGCTACATGAGAAGACCCCACCCCCACAGGGTGTTTACCTGCTTATATTACAACCAACAAGCGCGCACAAAACTGCCTCTCACCACAATCTACAAGCACTAAGCCATGTGCAGTGTAGTCCTGCTGTCGACCTATGGTGAAGAATTGAACGTGATCAAGTATAAAGGATTAAAATAAAATTAAAAAACGAGACACTGACAGGACATAAAGCTGGCCTTTGGCTCCCATCGTCGCACCGCCTGCTTTAAAACACCAGAAGCCTTTAACCTGACTAGGCCAGCTGGACGGCGAGGCCAGTTTCCCTCCGTTTTGACCCGGAAAAAAAAAAAAACGATGCCAGGATTCCTTTGGAATGAAGATAGCATTTTGGTGGTTCAAACCAAGGACCATTTGGTCAAGAAAAGGTTTGGGTGGGGCGCGGCCAGCTCCCCTTTCTGTGCGCCTGCTTTGTGCTCAGAGAGGCGGGTGACCCGGTGCGTGGGTGTGGCTCGCACAAGCTTTAGGCATGCACGCATTCTTACGTCTCCCGCAAGTGACATCTTAGTTAGTGAAGAGAATTCTAACATGCAGTTAATCAAGCGGCTCGCTTTTCGGCGACAGTTTTCAAATTCGGTGTGTATGCGTAAACTATTAGAAAAAGAAAGGCATTTAACCTAACCAGATGAGTTAAGACATATATTTAGATTTAAGGACTTCTTATTACACTGCATAGTTACTAGCTGTACAATACATTTACAAATGACTTACTAAAGCATTTAACAATGACAACAAAAAAACAGCCTTTAGCCAGTTAACCCCAATCGTAGATTAACAGAAGTTCCTTCATCATCAGCTTTTACCGAAGCCCTTAAATCATCAAAAAGACTGCTCATAAGTGAAGAAATTAGCAATGTTTACACACGGCCGGCACATAGCGTTTCAGCACCTGTGTGTGATCAGAGGAGACACAAGGCCAAGAGAGACAGAAAAACCACTGCAAAACCAAAACCAGACACACAGGCACTGCATCTGCGGCGCGTAAGGCAGCTCGACGAGACAGCAGAGCCTCTTTTCACTGCAAAACTGCAAGTCTAGTGGAACTCCGTGAGTGCTCCGAACAGAGGAGGCCCGGATGGCCTGAGGGGACCGCCCGGGAACCGCAATGTGAGGGTGGATTCACCCAGACGCTCTAAGCTAACGCCAGGCGTCGATGCTGGCAAATGGGACGAAAAGGATCCATGTATATCATTTATTCATCCATTCAGGACAGGACTTTTTTTTTAACCGTTGTGGTTTGAGTAAAGCATGATTAAAACTGTTATGGACGGCTGAGTTTTAGAAACCAAGAGGGGGATTTGTTCATTTTGAGGAACAAAAAAAAAAAAAAAACTAATCTCACATTTCAACTGGTCTTCTGATGGCTTGCCTTATAGAAAAGGTATGCAAAGGGGGCTGAGCTGTCCCCAGATGTGTAATTACAGTAAAAAAATGTAACAGTTATCAATCTGTTTGATCTTGAGCTATCGGTGCTGGTAGAGCATCCCTATAAATGACTATGATTATTCCTGGCCTAAATACGATCTCATCACTTCTATATTAAGTACACCCTTTAGAAGAAAGACTGGAATCCTGATCCACAGAAAAAGAAAAAAAACAGAACTGAGCATGACATGAACGACAGTCTCTTAATAGTTGTGTCCTGGAGGAGGGGGGAAAAAAATAAAATAAAATAAAAGGCCAGCGCTGGTTCTTCTAAGTGCTCTTTCCAATCTTTGTTTTAAAGTGATTGCGGATGCATTAGCAAAATCCTTAAGAAGTGTTCAGTTGTGTTAGAAATACGACGGATATATTGCAATCTGGAAACCTCATCTCCATTAATAACGAGTCGCAAAAAACATTCCCCCGACAAAAACAAATAAAGAAAAATGTGCAAGACTTAAAGCTATGGCATCAGAGACTGTTAGTTTTTCCTTTATCCTGTGGGTTACAGCTTAGGTGAGACAAAAGAGGAAAAAAAAAAAAGAGAAAAATAGGACGAGAAGACCAGGCAGAGCCAGAATCTTCTGAGGTAGGGTGAAGTTAGCCTGCAGTGTTACTTCACTTTTTTAGCCCATTTCAGGTCGTCCGCTCTGGGCTTCTCTCCCGTCATGCCCTGGATGAGATCCTCCAAGGTCCTCCAGAAACCCAGCTTCTCCAGAGGGTAGTTCAGCCAACCTGGGGAGATGGCTCAGAATCAAATCTGCTCCGCCCAGTCAGATCCCCTCTGCTAAAACACCGGACCTGTACCTGCAGCTCTCTGAGGCCGGGAGACAAACCTGTGGTGATGCAGAAGTAGGTCTCATGGGGCGAGACGTGGTGGATGCGGTGGTGCTTGCGGGGAAGGATGACGTGGCAGTCCTGCAGGAACACCACCCAGCGGGGGAGGCCGAAGTAAGTGTGCGACCACTTGTGGATCTGGTTGGTGAGAGTCACGAAGATGGCCAGTGCGAACAGGTAGCAGTACCAGGGGTAGTTACGGTAGACCTCCGCTGGGGGTAAAGAAAGACGGGGGGGAAAAAACCGGCACAGTGAGTATGCAACCGTTTCAAGATGGAGGGGAAAAAAACGGCATCTTTGTCGGGATAAAACTCACCAGGGGGGAGGGTGAGAAAGTTGAAGGCCATGTTTGCGAGGGGGATGATGGTCAGCATGCAGTTGTCACCATTGGTCTCGATGAAGTCGTGACGGGTGATGGCTGTCGGGTCGATGTGGTGCTCTCTGAAAGGCCGTATAAAGGCCTGCAGGGGGGGGGGGGGGGGGGGGGGGGAAAAATTTTTTTTTTTAAAAAAAAAAACATATACATATATATATATATATACATAAAGAGTTTAAAACACACCTTTCCAAAGATGGGCAGATCCACCGACCCCCACGTATCGGCCCCCCAGTGGACCAGTCCCGAGGCAAAGTCGGCGGTGAGTATTCCTGCCACTGAAAAGAAGGCGAAATACCACAGAATGAAAATCAAACAAATACTGTGATGGTTCACGCCAAGAACATTAATGACTCAGAATTCAGTGCTCACCGATGCCCAACAGGATGGACCAAAAGTGTCCAAAATGGAAATTGGCAAGCAGGTGAATGAAGTTGAAGGCCATGAGAGAGAAGCAGAGGATGACGCTTAGCCATTCTTGACATCTTTTGCCTTAAAAAAAAAAGACACGGATTAAGAAAAATAAGCTTTCTTGTTAAACTAAACTAGCAATAAAAGTGCATCTCTGGTCTGGCCCATATCATCAGAACATGGCATGATGTCATTATATCAACAAAAAACAAACAGCTTCCTGTGTGACAAAAACACTCCGTTCTTTACATGGTAAGTGACACCGAAGAGAAGATTCATCTTGGAAATCAGTCCACGATTTGACCCGCTTTAAACAAACGACAATGGGAAAGGCCTGCTCGTCCACTGGTGAGCTGACAGGACCAGAGACAACTAATTTTTGCACAACGGGCGGGTAGGTTTTCCACTGAGTGATTGTAAACTCAATCTGCAGGAATAATCTAAAATCTGGAACCAAAAACAACCCCCCCCCCCCAAAAAAAAGGATCCTTTGGTCTGTGGGCTGACTTGTAGGAGCCACCCTGAGGGGAAAGGTCACAGCTGACCCACCAGAGTCTGGAGCTCAGTGGATTCTTCCTCTAACCTCTGCCCGATGCTCCAAATGTCAAAACAGCGGAGCAACTCCACCACAAACCAAACCAGCCACCCATGATTCCTATTGTGTAACCGCAGCATTTGGACAATACCAAAAAAATTAACAACCTCGCCGCTAATGACTCGGTGGCATTTAATCAGAACAGTTAAAAAAAACACTCTAGCGGTCTTAATTGGTGATTTTGTAATCGTTTAAGTTATTTTAGTTGGGGTTTTTTTGTCACCCCACTCTAACTAAGCCAGTGGTTATGTCACACCACTAGTAGACACTTGAACCGGCAGGACCAAACCACCAACAGCCGGAGCTGCTGAGAGGATAGCTCACCTGGCGAATACAGGCTGGCCAGTTCCTGGGCGCCGGCGTGTTGCGGACCCCACCTGGCCGCCCCCCGGCCCGGTCCCTGGGGCTGGGTGGTCTCTGCGGCCACTCCACACCCATTCTGCTTCTCCGTACTCGCCATTTCTCCGCCGTGGGCCCGGCCCCTTCGATACTTCCTCTACAAGGAGCAGGGAACCAACGGCATCGTCAGCTTCTCGGCCCACAGAAAGTCTGACGCTTTCCACCAATCGGGCGCGGGTCGCCGTGCGAGACAGCCAATCAGCGCGCGACTGGGAAATCGTCGAAAAAGAAGAGCGCGACCAATCGGGAGGCGGAGTTTCTGGCTGATTGCTGGCATTTCCTGGTCCGACCTTCCGGTGTTGCTGGCAGCTCGACCCGCTGTTCCGTGTTGGCCGGTAGGTGGAGCTGTTCGGTTAGGAAACCAGACACGGAACCAGACCGAGTCACAGCACACTTTGTCAAACTAAACAAACTTTGAAAGCTGTTCATGAATTGACGTCAGGTCAAATGTTTGTTCAAGAATGATATTGACCCTGAACAAATTAAATATTTTCTAAGTTGATTTGGAAGTTGTTTTATCGTCGCTGCTAAATTCGAACGAGTGACAAATCGACTTTAACACGACCAGCTCTGTGGAGTCATTTTTCTTGCTGCTTTTTCTGCTTTACTGTTATTCCCCCAGTATTTTCTCTAATCTAACCAGGGTTTCTTGGGATGATCGCACAAAAACCTTTAAAAAACTCAGAATTTCCATCCATCCATTTTCGTAACCGCTTATTCCCAAATGGGGTCGCAGGGGGGGACTGGAAAATCATCCTGTTTTAATTAATTTATATTATGACGCAGGGACACACAGAGACACACAAGGACAAACATCCACACACACTCCCACTTAGGGGAAATTTGGAATGTCCAGTCAACCTAACATGCAGGTTTTTGGACAGTAGGATGAAGCTGGAGAACCCGGAGAGAACCCACACAAACACAGGGAGATCATGCAGACTCCAGACAGAAGGGTCCTGGTTCCCCCAGGGACTAGAACCCTGAACCCTCTTGCTGTGAGGCGATGGTGCTAACCACCAAACCACTCGGAAATATCTCATTTGAAATGTCAGATTTGATCTCTCTTAAGGTGAATCCGATGCTTCTGCCAGAGGAAAAAAGCAGCATCACAGCGTGATGGAGGCACCACCATGCTTTGGTTCCTGCCCCCTCTTTGCACCGCTCTGGCATGATGTGCCCACTTTTGGGCGGTGTGGGCTCACACAGGGGCTCCTGTCCTGGGTTCCCCTCTGCTGTCCTCTGGGCAGATCCACGCTGTCCCTGTGGAGCGTTACCGGGCCTCCCTGCTATGTGGAGCTGCTGATTTCCTGGGTCTTCCTGGGTCTGGAGACCCTCTCTGCTCACCTCTGATCCCTGGAAAGTCAGTGGCCCTTAGTACCCATCTCTGAGCACAATTCACAGCACCCACTACCAATTTTTGTTTCACGTGTTCATACACAGTCATGCCTATAACACAGTGCTGTAGTTCTGTCCATCAGTTTCTACTGTTTTGTTTCCATATTCCTTCTGTTTGTGTTTTTTGGTTGTTTTTTTGCTTTGTGTTTCGGCCCATTTTTGTTGTTTTTCTGTTGGTCTCCTTACAGGTGCTTGTAATGACCCCCCCACACCCTAATTTCCACACAGAGACTGTAGGAGGATTGTTGTGCATGTTTTTGTATATGTAGCAGCTGGTTGTTGTTTTTTTGGGTCATATATTTCCTTTTTATTTCTGCCCTTTTTCTCCTCCTACTCCAAGCTGTCATGTTTTCTTAAGCAAGGGTTGGGCACCAAGAAAGGCTTTATTCCCCTGAAGTATAATGGCTAAATGTTGCAATTACTTTGAATGTTTCAGAGCACAAACTTTATTATTGCAGCTCTCCCAGCACCGTCCTGCACATGTGCTGGAGGACAGAAAATATGAGGCAGACAATGGTGTCGTGTTCACGGTGTGTCAACAGATTAAAGACTGTCTGTAAAGAAGCGCTCGAGTAGTTTTGTTTTGGTGTGTAATTTAACTGAATGTTTGGTTCCGGAGGCATAGATTTGTGGTTGTTTTTCAGAAGAGGCCGGTCAGGAATCTCTTTTTCGTGTGCTTTTCCACATTGGTGTCTAACCCAGGAAGTGACCATGTTTGGTTACAGTAAACATAAGTAAATAAGCCTTTCCAAAATAAAGCACAAACGGATGTATAAAAGTCCAACAATTCTGGGAAAAGCAAAGGATGTTTGGAATCCCGTAGAACTTTGGAGTTGGAGCAGTAGGGGGTTGATCCTCAACACTTGGGGGCAGTATGGTTTCATTTTTATAATGAGCTTTAAGTTTCCTGTATTTTTCTTTCATTTAAGTCACAAGACCAGAGGCAGATGTGTTCTTTATGAACGCACCTCGTTTATATGGATTTATAGAGGGAAATATTACATTCGGAAACGTCATTGTTTGTGCTGCTTGTAACTGGCCCTGAGTGTAAAATCATTTACAAGTTGTTTTCCTTGGAACTTGGTAAACCCACTGATTAAGTGTGTGATACACAAACCCCTGCTGTTGTTGTCTTCACACTTAAAGCTCGTCTCCATGTCGTGTTGTGAGTCTTAGCGGGGCTCGTGTGTGTCTAAGTTCACGCTGTGGGACACCACTTATCACACCCGGCCAACCAGTAACAGAAATCTTTGAAGGATTGTTTCAAACACCAGCCAGACTGGCTGACCTTTGTACCGTATGAGGCGTTCAGGCTTTGGAGATCATCACCCCGAGGCAGACACGCTCCAGTTTCACGCTGCGCGCGGCCGTTGTGGGTACCAAAGTGTGTCGAGCTACTTTCGTTAGTGTCACTACTTCAGGTTTGTTACGTATGTGCTAAAAATGGTAAACATGCTCTGGCGGAAGCTTTTTTTTTTGGCTGCTGTGGAGCCCAGATGTGCCCAAACGGCAGAGGGCGCGCGATCACCGAGTGACGCAAAAGTGTGACTCAGCCCGTGGGTCATGACAGCTGAAAAGAGACGGCTGGGGTCGGGTTGTGTTTTCGCTTCACATTTGTGATCAAAACTGGTTTCTTTTTGGGGGGGTAAATCAACCTAAACAAGGTTTAAGAGCCTTATTCCGTTACCGTTTGGCAACTTTGCTCATTGCGCTTTTTTTTAACCATTCTTTCTTTTTTCTGTGTTCAAAAAGTCTTTATGAAAACACTGGTCTGAAAATGTTTCTATTTCTGTGTGTTAGAATGAAACGAGGGACTTCTGAAGTGGTCCAGGTTGTTCGATCGGCCCCGCGCCCGCGCGTCACACACCTGCCCAGAGGGGCTTAACTCCGCCCCCGCGCGCTTGAATAAAACCCCCTCGAGACAGGAAGATCTGTCAAGTCCTCCCAAATCCATGAGCTCTCGCGAAGCAGTTACTGCGTGTTACCACAGGCAGTGACACAGGAGATTTAAACTCAGCCCTGCATTCCGAGCCCTGTTTCACAACTCGGGCAGCAGCTCAACCCCCCCAAAAAAACGCACTCAGGGCGCCTCACCTCAGCCCTACATGCTCCTGCAATCCGGCGGGTGTTAAGATCCATGGAAGTGGCCGGCTTGTACGAGGAGGGCAGCTTTGCTATCCACGGTCGAGACGGCATCATCGGTCCCATCGGCGGCGGCTCGTACTGGAAGCTCGGCGACTCGATGACGGAGCTGGGCATCGAGGAGCGCGAGAGAGCGATCGACTTCAGCGTTTACCTGGACTCCGCGCTGCACTGCCCGCAGCTGGCGGCGCAGACGCACACGCAGACGCACACGCAAACGCACACCCAGCAGCAGCAGCAGCAGCAGGCGGACGTTTTCTCCGACTTCCTGGCGGACAGCAAGATCAAGAGGGTCGCGGCTCTGCAGAACTACAAGAACTACTCGCTGCTCGGCGAGCTGGAGGCGAGCCAGTGCGACAGCCTGCGGGACGCGCGGGAGCCCGGTTACGCGCTGGGTTACGCGGAGCTGCAGGCCACCCGCATGGACAGCGTGCTCAGCCCCGAGCTGGTGGGGATCCGGTACCGAGCCGCAGCAGCCGCCGCCGCCGCGGCAGCGGCCGCCGCCGAGAGGGACGACAGCCAGGAGGGAGCCAAGATGGACAACAGCTCGTCCGGGTTCGACATGAGGTCCTACCTCCACTACCAGTCCACCAGCGGCAGCCTGGGCAACATCTCCACCGCGTCCTCGACCTGCTCCAGCCCGCCCGGCACACCTGGCCCGTCAGGTAAGGGCAGGTCACCGTCCCACGGGGGGAAAGCGTCCGGCGGGAGTAAGGCGAAGAAGCGCCTGGACAAGGACAGCGAGGAGTACAGGCTGAGGCGGGAGAGGAACAACCTGGCGGTGAGGAAGAGCAGGGACAAAGCCAAAATGCGCAACTTGGAGACGCAACACAAAGTGCTGGAGCTGGCCGCGGAGAACGACCGCTTACAGAAGCGCGTGGAGCAGCTGTCCAGAGAGCTGGCCACCCTGCGCAACCTGCTCTCGGCCACCGGACAGTGTTGAACAACGCCTCCGCCGCGTTCACGGACTCTTGGAGCGGGAGGAGGTGGGGGGGGGGGGGGGATCACACTGTGCTGAAAAACGGGACGCTTTCACAGGTGAAGGCAGCGACCACCAGTTTACAAAGGACACACTTTGAATGAGACGGAACAAGTGGGTGCATGGATTGCGCAACCATTCACGACTCTTCAACATGCCACCATAGCTTCATTCTCAGATGTAATGTTGGTGTACGCAGTATTTCTGTGCCGGTTTTTACATACATACCAGTGAATTTCTACATTTTTTTTCGTGTATCTGCAGGCAGCAGCGGCTGTCAAGGGAAGAGTTGTGCTGCAGTGAAATGATGCAACTCTTTGTAATAGTGTTGGCAATGAATGAAATAAGTCTAATAATTTAATATTAAGAGGTGAAATGCTTTAATTGTACTTGATATTTTATTGAATTAAATAGATTTTTACTTTGTTTAAACAATTTCACTTGTTCTTTCTTCATTTTGGTGTCTTTGGAGCAGGTGTGAAAGGACACAGACAGGCAGACATGGGTGTTACACTGGCTTCAAATCCAGTCGTCATGGCACCCTGTTTTCATACCGCAGGAGGAGAATGTGCAGTTTTTAAAATTCATGCTCTCTACGGTTAAAAAAAGGAATAGAAAACACAATGCAAGCGTTTGATCTTCCCCATTTTAGAACTGATGGGATTTAGAAAAGAGAAAATAAAGCTGGAGACATTTCAAGTATCTAATGACAGTTTATCCCAATCTATTTATTTTTTGTGGGTCCATGATGGAGAAGGGGCATCCAGCGGTTTCCAGATGTAGTATGGTGGATTTCTCATGAATAATAATAATAAAAGCAGATACAGCCTTTACAGGCCAGTCTAAAAAAAAACAAAACAAGAATCATGACTTCTCCCACCACTGTCAAATTACTGAACACCAGCCTAAATTTGGTCTCCATGTTTATTTAATGAGGTTCACAGCTCTGGAAATAAACCCAAGCAGCTTTATGGTGAAATGATACTGCTGAGAGCAGCAAAAAAAAAAAAAAAAAAAAAAAGAGTTACTCGGTCACTCTGCACGCAGCACAGAAATGTTGGCTTTATCTTTCACGCAGGCCTCTGTCAATAGTCTGCTGAGTCCACTGGCCCGGAGAGGAGTTCAAGGTTGCATTGGAAATTAATCAGCAACTAACCTCATCACACTCCTCAGGTCACGCCTGGCGGGGAGGGAGACGTGCCCTAATCCTGAGTAAACCTCGGTTTAGCTGCCAAGCAGAAAAATATCACCAGTCCAGGGGTTAGGCCTGTCAGAGGGCGTTACACCAGACTCGGCAGATATGCAGACAAATGGTTTCGCTTTGGAATTTACAAAGCCTCTCGGACCGCGTATCACTGCGCATGAATCATATCTGTCAGGAGCAAGCAAACTCCAGACAGAGCAGATAAAAACCCGTCAGGCACGGTGTGATTTTTTTTTCAGGCGATGCTTACAGTTCAGGATGGGGAAATGTACTTTTTTTTTTTCTTTTTCTTTTTTCCAACTGAAGACATCACAGGTTTACCACAATGGCTGCGAAAAGTCACGTTGCGTGTCCTGTTAGGGAGCGCAGACGCATCTGCGCCGTTTTGGGGCTGTGACGGATGACATTTTGGATGTTTCAACACACTCAGCGATGAAGTGTTTAGCCTTTAAAACGGTTGTGCAACATCCTCCCTTTTCCAAGACATCACCACCAAAAGAATGCTACACCCACATTTGAAATAAGACATTGTTATCCTCTTGCGCGCGTCACAATGGATGGGAGAAGCACGGGGGCTGCTTTTTTTGGGGGGTTTCTCGGGTGCAAAACGGGGCCAGGCCATGTGTCGTGTGTCATGTGTCATTTCAGGCCGTTCGGTGCTCATGACATTAGATTTGTGGAAGCTGACACCGTCCCGGAAAGCCGTGGCACCGATGGGCGCTCGACGCGCGCGAGTTGGCTCGCGTTCCCTCCAAACATTCTGCGCATTCTTTCCTCGATGACCCCTTAGTTTTTTCGGCCACACGTCGTCCTTCTCCTGCTCCTGCCTCTCACTGACAGGCCGGGAGGGAAATTCCCACACACACGGATGACCTCCTTTCTTCCCAAGTTTAGCCCGGCCCCCTTTTCCCGCAACTTACCGGCAATGGGCAGTGTCTGTCGGTAAAAAAACTCCTCGTTGCATCACAGCCCCTCCGACTGGTCCGCAGCAGACCTACCTAGCATCCCGTTGTTCTGGTTGTGAAATAGAAGAAACTTTTCCGAGTGTGAGTCACTCCAGTGTGTTTTTTTTTTCGACTGTTCCTCAAAACACTGCGTGATGCTGTTGTGGAACACGCTGTTCATGTGAACCCCCCCTCCCACCTGACCGGTGGATGGGCACTTCCGGTCATTTCAAAGCAAAGATGGTCCAAAACCAACCTCTCTAAATCAAGGATGGACAAAATTATCCAGGCAGAAACGATCCATCACAAAGCAACGCGCAGATTATGACAACTTTACCCGCTTCTTTATGTGCAAGACCAGGATGGTAATTTTGGGCAATTTTTTAAGGTGTTGTAGGTTTGACAAGTGTGGTAAGAGCTGTTGCCTCACATTAGCCATCAAGATTAACTTTGTTATTCAGTTGCAAAACACACCGCAGCGCGTACCGTCGCCGACTGCTACTGAGCTGTTCTGTGATCTCTCGATGTTAATTTGGAGTCCGACTGTAGAGATGGCTGACAAATTAAAAGGAAGAGCCTGAACCTTTGAACCCCAAAGTTAGAGGCCTTCTGGTAGGGTTTTAGAAATGGCCGCTTCTGCCACTGGAATCAAACGTGCGTTCGATACAGAACATTTATCCGGCGTTCGTCACACCCTTTTCTTATGTCTGATCCTTTTCAGTCCCCAGACTAAAGGCTGGCTTGTTATGCTGAGGCTTTGCTCCTCAGTGTCTCATATTGGTCTGACAGCGGATTGGGAGTCCACTTTTTTATTTTTTACGGCTCCAAGTTTTGAAAACGGACCATTTGTGCCGTTTTGCCTCACTTTACTGGAGCCTTTGTCGTGGAATGAGTACAGGCCGTGCAGAAATGTCTTAATGTTACTTCACTGCTAAAATAAATGACAGTGGCAACTTCCTCTTTGAGGACTTTCTTTTGCTCTCAGTTGATTCATTTCAGAGTCATGAAGGAGCGTTAAGCCACCGAGCAGAACTGTAGGATTTTATAATCATTTAATAGGTCTTTGTTTACATCCAGTGTGGTTGGCAGTCTCTAAAAACAATCGTGATAGAAAACTGATATCTGAGAAGGGATTCTGGGACAGGGCTGTGTTTACTTTGTCAGCCGTGAACCGGCAAATGTAGTTTTATAAAAGCTAAATGTTCCCCTGATTCTTGCTCGGTGTCAGCTTAAACGGCTCCACGTTCAGCTCGGTTCAGCGTGGTCAGGCGGTGACAGGTCTGGGCTGTCAGAGGGCCAGTGGCTGAGTCTGTTCTCTGGCTTTTTAAAAGAAAAAAAAAGCTGTGAGTCTAAAGCAGAGCAGATGTTTCAGTTTCGAAGGACGCAGAGTTCATGGTTCCCAAAGATTTTCAACCTGAAGTTGTCAGTCTGCTTTAAACATGCTCAGGCCCACTCTTAAATACATTTATCTCTGCGTAGTAAACTTTTAGGTGCATTTATGGATGAAACAATGTTTTTTTTACATATTCCACAACAACCGAAGCCCTTTTTTAAGATGTAATTTTAGCCTGAGGTGGCCTGAAGCTCATGGCCCTCAGACAGGTTGATCCCTCTCCTGCCCGACTTGCCAAGCCTTTTCTCGGGATTATCTGAATCTTTAAATGACTCCAGGTAATGCACGTCTTCATTTCGGGGGAGTTCGATGTTTAAGTTGCGCCCAAACTGCTCAAACTGCTTAGAAGCAGCCACACCCGCGTCGCCTCTCTCTTGCCACATGCGAAAACAGAGAAGTTCGGGGAGGATTTTGACTCTGTGATTTTTGATCGTTGGACTCCGGTTCCCTTGCTAAGTGAAAGGCAGAGCGGATGTCCGGGCCTTGGGCGCTAACGGGAAGACGTATAGGCTGAGATACGGTAAACTAACCAGAAGATGATCTGTCTTGAAGTGAACCAGGATTTCGACACATCGGTTCACTTCTGCTATTTGGCTGCAGATGACTGTGAATACACAAAACTGACGTGCAGAAGCGTCTTGCGGTCACTACACAGCAAGTATCACTGCCCTCCTCTTGTGTAACAGCGGACCATCCTTGCACAAGGAACGCTGGCTTAATTAATAGAGCAACGTTCGTGTCTGGGTGGAGTTTCGTTCCACCGCATTCTGAGGCCGAGATGATGTGGAGTCATGGGCAGCTCCGGCTCACTTGGAGGCAGATCGGGTCACACATGCGTTTGCTAAATAAACCCCGATCAAAAAGGTCAAACGGTTGTTCTGTGACCTACGGGCCTGCTACTCATGCTGACTCTGCTTTTGGACCAATAAAACGTTACCGGCAAAGAAAAACCTGTAGTTCAAAAACAAGAATGTTCTTGTATTGTCAGGATTACATTTGAAAAATCATGCATCCATCCTTCCATTTTCGTAACCGCTTATTCCCAAATGGGGTAGCGGGGGGCCTATACTAGTAGTCCATGGGCGAGAGGTGGGATACACCCTGGATGGTCAGGAAAATCATCCTTTTTTAATTAACCTATGGTAGGCATTGACCAAATTATGTCATTTCTTTGTCATAAGTAAGAAGTGGTAAAAGACATACTCATTTACTTTTGCTCACTTTGAGAAAATTTGAATATGTCTGATGAAGTACGGGAACAAAAAAAACTTACTGAGATATGTCACTTTTTATGAATGATTTGGATTGAGACCCAACCAAAATAGCAGCTCTCTGTGTTTTTCGGCAGTCTAATCCAGTGGTTCCCAACCCTGGTCCTAAAGGCACATTATCCCGCATGTTTTCCAAGTTTCCCTGATCCAGC